CCTTTTCCTTTCCACGGTGCTTGGCATTCTGGGTGCTCTTGGCGCGCTCCTCCACCTGTTCCCATTGGGTATTCTTGGCCCCCCTTTGTATGTTGATCGATATCGCTTTCTTCCTCGTTCGGCGCTCGATGTCCCCCCCCCCCACCCCCCTCGCCTTCATAGGCACCGCGGGCGTCGCAGTCCTGGGCGCGATGCCCGCGGCCGCCGCAACGACTGCATTGGGGCGCGGTTATATCACCTTGCCCCATGCCCTTGTTAACTCCTTTTACATCCTCATTCGTCCAGGCCCGCCAATCTCCATCGTTGCCAGAACATCCTGCATCGAAGTCCTCCTCCTGTTGATGCAAATCGTCGTCCTCGCCGGCTTGCCCGATGTCCATGTCGCCGGTTTCTCTGGCATTGGCGCCCGACCTGTTCTTCCGAACCTAATCGTCGCACTTAGCGAACTATTTGCGATAGGCGTAGTCCTGCAGAAGATCTGGCGTTTTGTAGCAATCGCTCTGCCATCCGTCAATTGTAGTCCCACTGAGAAAGAAAGAGAATGTACTTTTCAGACGTATGTACTAGCTGATTACATTTCTCAAGACGCGATGCGGCCTCTGTTCCACGTTTGGGTCTGACTGGATTCATGGCGAGGCCCATCTTGCGCGATAGCGCAGTGCCGGCGTTCGCAGATTAGAACTTGCACAGCTTCTGGTAGCCCATGCTACCGTCACCGTCCTCAAGACCCCCCAGCTTCCCCAGCGCATCGTCGCCGTGCAGTTTATCCTTTCAGCAGGTGCAATAAATCTTCGCCCAACGTTTGATAATCAGCCTCGTTCAACTCGCAGCCGCCTCTGTTATCCACCCCTTGCGTTTTTGTTTGGCAGGACTTGCTTTGTTGTTTTCGCGGGGTGTTCGCCGGTCGTGATTGATTTCGAGTACATCATCTGAGTATTCGTCCGGCGTTGCTCCGCCCATGGTTTTAAGCTTAGCAAGTTATGCTAGACCTGGGCAAGTGCATCTAGCAGCGCGCCATTCCAATCTCGATCCCCTGAGAAAGTTTTCAACTCTTGCATAGCCCAGCGCTCGCATGCCGGCTGACTTCCACCGACGCCTTCGTTGCTGGTGGCACCCTCTGAGATATTTCTTGTCATTTGTTCTGCTAGTTCACAATTAGCGTTGATCTCGCGGGGCATCCCAGCCATCTCCTGCGCAGCGAACTGGCGGCGAGTCATCAAGTTTAGCAGGGGGGCGTTGGCCCCCGCGGTCATCTGCGCGAGGTTGAGAAAGTGTCCTGCGAAGCGAGGCGATGGGCCTGTCCAGACGCAGCGGCGCGCGCGCTGTGGCCAAAAGCGATATTCACTCCCTCACGGATGGCACGCGGAGCTGTCGAGACGCATTCGACATCCCACTGGTGCATGAGTTGTCGCATAATTCAGCCTTTCCAGCTCTAAGGTATACAGTGCTTATCGTGCATCTCTCTGCAGGAGAGGCGACCGCGCTCGGGTCGCCTGCCCGCGGCGGCGGCCCATCGTAGGGCGCAGCAGGCGGTGCTTGGAGCGCGCCGGGGTAGCCCGGACTTTTGGCGGCATTTTTGTTTTGAATAAAATCCCAGCGTCGACTGCCCGGGGCGCGCGCTGGCCAAGAGAAGGGCCCCGGCAGCGGCGGCAGCAGCAGGCGCGGGGGATGCAATTGACTCCTCCTCCTCCTCCTCTTCCCCCTCGCCCCCCCCCCCCCCCCCATCCCCCCCCCCCTCCCCGCGCGCCACCTTGCCCCCGTCAGGTCATGTCCGAACAAGAGGGGGAATGGAGCCGCGCGGGCCATGAGGGGCGGGGCGCTGAGAGGGAATGAGCAGTAGGGAACGGAGCGCGAGGACTGCGAACAGGGAGGATCAAGGAGGAGGGCGCAGGGGGGGGCATGGGGGGGAGGGGAGCTCCTGCCTGCAGCACGCCCCCCCTTCCTCTGCCTCTCTTTGCTCGCCCCCCCCACCTCCGCCCCCCCTCCCATTCCTCGCCCCCTTGGCTCGCGGCGCCGCCCTGGCCCCGAGCTGGCCGCGCATTGCGAGGTCACCGCGACCGGCGAAGGCGCGCGGTCACTCGGTGGTTTTTCGTCCCCCCGTAGCCTTGGCCCGGGGCATTCCGCCCGCAGACTCGAAGAGGGCTTAAGCGCACGTCGAGCTATCGGACATTTCTCGCGCGCCTTCTGGTGGACATCCGACGGGAAGTGCAGCTGGCGACGGGGCCGGGCGAGGAGGAGGAGGGGGGGGAGGAGGGGGGGGGGAGGGGGAAGCGACGAGGACAAGGGGGGGGGGCGCGGGAAAAATATTGGCGGATCTCTGGAGGAGCGGAGCGAGCAATGGTCAGAGTACCAGGGCCTGCAGCAGGAGCTGGCGGGGCACAGGGTGTTCTGCGGCGCCGCGGTGCTACGGCAGCAGGGGCGGCGGGGCGCCATCGGCGCCGCGGAGTTGCAGCGCGCGGCGCGCCCGTGGCAGCCGCGGGAGCAGCGGGCGTCGAGAATCTCTCTGGAGGAACAGATCGCCGCGCAGCAGGCGACCCCAGCGCGGCGCCGGGCGTTCTCGTTACACGAGGAGGAGTGGTTCGGATCCGGCGGGTGGCCCGGACGATGAAGTCGGCCACGGCGTTGAGTTTTTTTCCTGATGGTGGTGGCGGTGATGGGCATGATGGCGGCGGCCGCGATGGCACCGGCGTCGACGATCGCGGCGATGGCGACGATGACGACGGTGGGTGCACGCGGAGGGCAGAACCATGGATGGCACGTGGAAGAGTAATGGCAGGTGGTCGGTAGATCGGGCGGCGCCGGATGCGGCCGTTTCACAATATGGCTTGTCTGAACCAGATTGTTTGAAGAACCTGCGGGCGTCCCCATGTTAATGCCATGCTCGGCGCATGAAGCCGTTGATTGCCACAGGGTGTACATGGGGTCGCAGTCTTGTCCGCTCGGCGCCCGGCGGCGCGCTGCTGGCATCTCTCGCGACGCACGTGGAAGGGGGCGCTCTGCGTGTGCGACGTGTAGTTGTTGAGTCACCTGGCCTCTGCGCGTTTTGCTGGTCGTGGCCCGTCCCCCACTGCGCCAGTCAGATCGCGTCTACTTACCTAGGCCGCGCAGCAAGCGTCGCGGAAGCAGGCGAGCGCGCGTGGTTCGCGACGACGCCGCTGTTAATTTTGTCCGCGTGTCGCGTACTACTACTACCACCACTACTATTACTACTACTACTACTACTACTACTACTACTACTACTACTACTACTACTACTACTACTACTACTGCTGCTACTACTTACTACTACTACTACTAACTAGTACACTAGTACTACTAGAACTACTACTACTACTACTAACTACTACGACTACGATACGACTACGACTACGATACTACTACTACTACTACTACTACTACTTACTACTACACTACTTACTACTACTACCACCACCACTACTACTACTACTACTACTACTACTACTACTACTACTACTACTGCTACTACTACTACTACTACTACTACTACTACTACCACTACTATCACTACTATCACTACTATTACTTCTCGCGCGTCTACTCCGACGTGTACCTCGGCTGTCAGTTCTTCTTCTAGTTTACGTCTGCGTCTACGTCTACATCTACGTCTACGTCGACGTCTACGTCTACGTCTACGTCTACGACTTCTACTGCTTCAACTACTGCTACGATTATTATTATTACTTCAACTACGATCAAGATTATTATTACGACCGCTATTACTACTACTACTACTACTACTACTACTACTACTACTACTACTACTACTACTACTACTACTACTACTACTACTACTACTACTACTACTACTACTACTACTACTACTACTACTACTACTACTACTACTACTACTACTACTACTACTACTACTACTACTACTACTACTACTACTACTACTACTACTACTACTACTACTACTACTACTACTACTACTACTACTACTACTACTACTACTACTACTACTACTACTACTACTACTACTACTACTACTACTACTACTACTACTACTACTGACTATACTACTACTACTACTACTACTACTACTACTACTACTACTACTACTACTACTACTACTACTACTACTACTACCATTGCTAAGACTTGTACTACTACCACGACTACCACCACTACGACTATTACCACTACTACAACAACTACTACTACTACTACTACTACTACTACCTCTAGTATTCCGACCACGATTTCTACTACTACTGCTACTACTACTACTACTACTACTACTTCTACTACTACTACTACTACTACTACTACCACTACTACTACTACGCTACTACTACTACGAGTACTACTACTACTACTACTACTACTACTACTACGACTTACTATACTACTACTACTATACTACTACTACTACTATTACTACTACTACCACCACTACTACTACTACTACTACTACTACTACTACTACTACTACTACTACTATTACTACTACTACTACTACTACTACTACCACTACTACTACTACTACTACTACTACTACTACTACTACCACTACTTCAGCTACTACGACTAGCACTTCAATGCTATACCATTGCGAGAACTGCCTTTGTTGGTTACCGTCGCGACTTCGCGCATGGCGCGGTGATAATATGCACGCGCCCGTCTTTGGGCGTCGTCTAGGCCTCGTCCCCCGAGCGCGCGCGCCCGGGCCCGCGTCGTTGCGTGTCCGCGCGCCCATGCGGCGGGCAGGACAAGGGAGGCGGCGACGCGGCAATGGAGGAGGCGAAGATGGGGGAGGATCAGGAAGGGAAGTTTGGCAGTGGTCAGACGTGGTGGGGGCGTGGCGGAATGTCCCTCCGGTTTACCTCACTCGCCTGCGGGGTCGGCGGATAAACAAATTAATTCGGAGGTCTGCGCGGATTTTTCGGATCGGCGTTGGACCCCGTTCCCTGGCGCGCGGAGCGCGGCAAGGGCGGCGTAGGAGGCGCCGCCCCAGGGGGTTCCAGCGCGGATCCGAGAAGCCCGCGCGGACCTCAGAGTTTCTAGGTTTGTGTCATTCTCCGCTCCCTTAAAGAAGCCCTTGGCGTCGCCGCAGCGGACTTCGGCAACGGCGTCGGCCCCAACGGCACCATGGCCGTTCCGTGGGACCTTCTGGCAAACCTGCAGGGGGGCCTTTCGAGCGTGCCGAAGATCGTCGAAAACGTGAGCAGGATCCCGAGTTTCGCCGCCAATCGCATCGAGAAGGCCGTGTTTGTGGTGAAGACAGGCGTGGACATGGCGGCTGCCATCCATGGGGCTGCATCCAGGGCGGCCGAGCGCGTTTCCGCCGGTGTAGCCAATTTGAGCCGTGGGGCCACGAGCGTCGCTTGGAGTGCAGGGCGGACATCGGAAGCGATCGCGGGGCTTCCCCTCTCGCTCTCCAGGGTCGGCGTCGCGCTCGTGGATGTGTCTGGCCGGCCCGTCCGGGCTGCGCAGTTGGCAGGAGTCGGCGGTTCCAAGATGCAGACCGGGAGGGCCATGGGGCCATGATGACGAGCGAGCGACGGACGGAAATCAGAGGAGGGAAAGGTGCCCATATCGCTACCCTTCCTTTGTTTTCTCCTTCTTGGGCCTCCTGGGAGGCCGTCGTCACCGCTGGATTCGCTTTGAAATTCGGGTCAGAATGCACCCCAGGACATGTCTGGGGAGTAGCGGTATCGGTGCCTCTTGGTTTCCTTTCGGAGCGGGGTCGACTGCGCGAACAGGAACATTCGCGCGTATGCTGCCTGCGTAAGGGTAAGTTCCCTCGTCTGCGATGTGGCGTGCCGCGCTGGCGGCCTGCGTAAGCCCCCGCGTAAATTCGATACGTCATCTTGCTTAAGGCCCGTTTGTTTGCGTCGCTCGAATGGGCCCAAGTAGCGAAGGATCATTTTGGGATCCTTGTCCTGCCGTGGTATCCGCCGACCCGAGTTTTTTGGCACGCCGCCCGAGAGGTCCCGACCCCCTTCCCCGGGCCAGTTGTTCGCTCCATGTATATATACACATAAATTTATATGTCCATATAATCTTCATGGATTGACATACTCCCCAAGCAGCGCTTGCACTGAAGGGGTCCTAGCGGAAGTTGGAAGATTTGGCGACCTTTTCCCGCCGACTTTGGTAGCAGGCTGGGTTCCCGGGTTCCTAGTTCCGAGTTCCCGGGTTCCCGATTTTTGGTTCCTGGCCGATTGCGGTGGGTTCTGGGTTCCCGGGTTCGTGGATCTCCGCAGCGGAAACCATATTTTGATTGGGATGTTTCTTTGGTGGTATATGTATTTGTATTTGTATTTGTATTTATATATACAAACGTAAATATCGATGGGTTTGGTGTATCGGGGGCCTAAATGGCGGGAGGTCGAGGACGGACGCCGAGCTTTCAAAGACCGCAGTTACCGTCGGAGGTCTGGCTATCGTTCGGGCCCCACCCCACGGGGCCCCGTCCATCCCTGTCGTCGTCGTCGTCGTCCCCGTCGTCCCCGTCGTCCCCGTCGGCCCCGTCTTCCCCGTCGTCGTCGTCGTCGTCGTCGTCGTCGTCGTCGACGACTGCCTCCGCTCCGCTACAAAGCTGGCGGGCCGAGCCACTTCCTGTCCTTCTAGCCCAGCGGTCGACGTGCACCCACGTGCGCCCATGCACCCGCTCGTGTTTCAGCCAGCGAGAGTTCAGGAGGGAAAATGCACACGGACACAAGTAACCGTCGGTTCCCAGGAAAATATGCGAAAATGTGAGAAGTAAGGGCGGGGGGAGGCAGACACCCAGAAGAGATGTGTGGAACTGCGGCCCATGGATTTCTGTGCGTGTCTGTTTGTGTGTGTGCTCGTGGGCCCCTCCAGCAAGGAGTGCTGGCCGCTGCCGCCGTGGAGGGCCTGGGCAGGGGCGCCGGGGGCCTCCAGAAGCGGCTCGGCGCCACCGCCGCCCTCCCGGGCAGGGCGGCGCGGGGCGTGGCGGACGGCGCCGCCGCCCTCGGGCAGGCCGCGGCCGGCACCGGCAGGAGAGGGCCCAGCTCGGTTGATCCGATGTGATCTCGATCCTGGCCGGCCCGATCCGATTTGATTCCCACCGTCTGAGGTCGGGCGTATTTTTGTTGGAGCATTTTTTTGAGAATTTGGGATGTATCTTGGAGCATTTTTGAGTTGTTGGGGTGTCTGAATTTCGGGGGTCTTCTTGCAGTATTTCGAATTTGTCGCCCAACATCCCCCTGTCTGATCTGGACGCCCGAAATAGGTACGAAAAGAATGGGTACAATGCCCAACAGCATTTCCTGTGCATTCTGAGCAGGATTCGCTGTCCACGCCGCCGGGGCCCGTCTCCATTCGAGGCAGAAGACCGCCTGCCCAACAGCGGCCGCTTTTGGTTTGGGACAACATTTGTTGTTGGGCACTGTACCCATTTGTTCCGTACCCGTTTCGGGCGTCCAAGTCTGAAGTCGGGCGTATATTGTTGTACAGTATTATTTGAACATTTTGGATGTATTTTTGAGCATTTTGAATTCTCGAGTTTTTGAATGTAGAGGGTATTCTTGGAGCCAAAATCCCCCTGTAGGGGGACAGGCCCGACCTAGTCCAACGACCCAACGTGCCCCGCCGCTGGCATGGCTCTGTTGTGCACCCCGTCGCGGCCGATTCGATTCGATTCCGATTCCGTGCCGATGCAGCCCGATTCGATGCTTGCTCCGATCCGATCCGATTTGCCGATTCGCTGCTGGCCGATCCTCCCAGGACTGTGAGCGGCGTGGCGGACGCCGTCGGGCAGGCCGCCATTCCTGAGCGACTGACGGAGGCGGCCAGGACGGGCTACACGCAAGGGCGGCCCTCCGACGGAGTGACCTGTGGTGCGGGCCCATTGGAGTTCGGTCGGGCCTGTCCCCCTACAGGGGGATGCTGAGCGAAAAATAAAAAACATTCAAAACATGCACCCCAAATTGGCAAAAATGGTTAAAACATCGTCCCCATATTATTTTTCACTATTCTTGAATATTCCTCCTGTAAGGGACACACCCGACTTAAAATTGGGATATAATCCCGAGCGCTGAGTTCTATGCGAGAACGGCGGCTCCCGCGCTCCTCGGCTTGGCCCCCCACCATTCCACCCGCTCGCGCCCCCCTACTTCTGAGGAACATCCTGGAGGCCTCGCGAGGCGCGAACAAGTCTCAGACATGATCGCGTCGGAAAAAAATCAGGACGGCAAATTGTTCACTATTTTCGGCCCTCGGGGGCCCTCGCCGGGCCACGGGACGGTCAAAAAACGACTCAGGATGACAAACTGGCCCCAGGGAAAGGGCCAGGAATTCCGCGGACGCCTTCCTGAAAAAATCAGGACGTCGCAGGTTTAAGGTAGTATGACCTAGTAGTCCATTTGGCAGTTCCGCGAGCTACGTGTCGACGCTCGCGCGGCGACGGTCGGGTGTCAGTCCGACGTAAATCCGACGTAAACCCGACATTAATCCGACGTGCATCCGACGTGGATCCGATGCAAATCGGGCCTCAAGTTTCCGCGCGAGGCCTCCAGGATTTTCTTTATAACCGCCGAACCCGCGCGCCAAAGGTCACTGCCCAGACATGCGACGTTCTGATTTTTTCAGGACGGCGTCCCTGGAAGTCCCGACCATTTCCCCGGGGCCGGTTTGTCATCCTGAATCGTTTTTCAACGGTCCCGGGGCCCAGCGAGGGCCCCCGAGGGTCGGTCGAAAATAGTGAACAATTTGCCGTCTTGATTTTTTTTTTCACGACGCCAGCATGTCTGGGTGCTGCACGGGCTCGCTTTTGCGTGCAGCCCGCAGGAGCGCGTTCATCGGCTCGTTCATGATAGGCCGGCGGCCGGCTGCCAGCCGAGCCGCGCCGGGCGCGGAGCTCCGCGGTGCAGACCCCTCGCCAGCGGCTGGCAGCTCGTGACGCTCGTCGGTTCCCTGAGCAGCCGTCTCACTGCAGGGACCTACGTAGCCTCAAGCAGTGGCGTGGCGTCCTGGCGGGCCCAAAGGCCCAACAGGGAATGTTCTGAAAACTTGTTGTGGTCTGCACGAGATGTTCTTGGAACAGTTCTGGCTGAGACTGTCCTGTTTTATGCCACCAGGTTTGTGTTCTAAGAGCACAGCTTTTGTTCTTATAGCATTTGCGGGTTCTAAGAACATTTCGTGGTAGGCCTATTGGAATGCTGGGGCGGTCGGTCCCTGCTGAATAGCTGCGGCAGGCTTTTGCAATCGGGTCGGACGAAAGGGTTTACGGTCTGAGGTTTGCGGACGCTCTGGTCGGCTCTTCCAGCCCCAGGAGCCTCCCAGCAGCTGCGCCTCGCCGACGGCGTTCCGGGGGGGGGGCCCATCGTGTCAACGGCCGCCCGGCGGTGCATCGCCAATTCCAGCTCGATATCATCATCATCATCATCATCATCATCATCATCATCATCATCATCATCATCATCATCATCATCATCATCATCATCATCATCATCATCATCATCATCATCATCATCATCATCATCGCCATTGTCATCGTCATCATCATCATCATCATCATCATCATCAGCATCATCAGCATCAGCATCAGCATCAACATCATCAACATCAACATCAACATCAACATCAGCATATATGTTCTTGAACGGTTTGAGATGAACGGCTTGTAAGGTAGTGTTGTACAGCCACCCCGCCTGCAACATGTTCCAAGAGTTCACACATCGGCATCTTTCTCGTTTCCCCGTCCTCTCTTCGCGTCCCTCCCTTGCTCCGCTCCTCTCCCCCCTCCCTGTGGTCCATAGCCTGTCCCTGCTTTCGGACGGGCGGCCCCGCGCCGGCCGATGGCTGCTGGCGCTGCCTGGCGCGGCGCGGGGCCGGCCTGGCGCCGCTTGGCGCCATGAGCGGCGCCGCCCGGGCGCCCGACGCGGGCCGCGCGGCGGCGCCCCGCGCGCAGGGCGGGCCCCGGGCGAAGCGGCGCCCGGGGGCGCCAGGCCCGGCGGCGCCCGCGGCGGAGGAGCCGGTGGACCCCCGGTGGCTCGAGGACCCGTCCTTCGGGCCCGGCCTCCTCGGGCCCCTGCCGGGGGTGGACGTCGGCGGCGCCCGCATCCAGGACGCGCTCCGGGACGTCGAGACGGGCCGCGGGAGTGGCGCGACAGGCGCCGCGCGGGCGTCCGGCCGCCTGGTGATGTCGGCGGGGTTGCTCGTCCCCCGCCCTGGCCCGTGGGGGGCGCCCGAGATCCTGGCGATCCGCAGGTCCCGCGGCGAGGGCCGGCCCGGGGGGGGTCCCAAAGGGCCGCCTCGACCCGCCGGACGACGGCCTGGTGGCGGCTGCCTTCCGCGAGCTGGCCGAGGAGAGCGGCCTCCAGGTGCCGCTGCCCGCCGGCGGGGTCTCGAAGATCGGGGGGGAGCAGTGCGAGGCCCCGGGGGGGGATGAAGGCGGTGCACTGGTTATTCCTGCCCTTGGGCAGCGCCACGCTGGTCTGGGGGCCGCGCGAGGCGGGCGACGGCTCACGGCTCGCGAGTTGGCGAGCCTTCGGCTGAAGGGCCTGCGCTCCCGGCCCCTCCTGGCCGAGGAGGCCCTGAAGCGCTCGCTGCCGCGCCGGGTGCTGGAGCCCACCGCGAAAAGGGCCGCGCAGGACCTGGTGGAGCCTGCCCCAGAGGCGGAGTCCCCAGTTTCGGCCCCCGCGGGTGGTGATGCGAGCACAGAGGCCGCGCCGGGGCCCCGGCGGCGCCGGAACCCGCTCGCGCCCAGCTGCGGAGGGTGTGCGCCGGCGAAATGACGCGGCGGCCCGGCGATCGCGCCGCAAGAAAAAGTCGGCGGCGGAGAGGGCAGCCGCTGCAGCCGAGGAGACTGGCGGCGCCAGCGCTGGCGACCACTGATTCGGCCCGCCGAGTCAATGGCACATTTTCGTGGCGAAGTCCAGCGGCGCCCTCCGGATGATAGTGGATGCTAGGCGCAGCAACGGCCACTTCTGGGCGCCGTGGCGCGCGGCTGCTCAGCAGCGACGGCTTCGGCAAGGTGAAGGTGGAGCTTCCGCCTGGCGTGACGCCTGGATCGGCTGAGGGCCGCGCGCTGTTGGACTCCTTCACGGTGTACGTGGCGATGACGGACATGAAGGACTGCTTTTATCGTATGCGGATTCACGAGAACCTGGGCAGGTTCTTCTGCCTGCCCCCAGTGCCCGCGCAAGTTTTCGACGGCCTGACGGTGCTTGGCCTGAGCGGTGGGAGCTCCTGCGGGGACGTGACTCCCTACATGGCAGTGCTGCCCACGGAGTTCGCCTGGTCACTCTACCTGGCGCAGACGGCCAACGAGGAGCGAGTCCGCCGGAGCCCGGCGCTGCAGAAGGCCGTGGAGCATGCAAGAAGGGGCGAGCTCTTCTATGACCAGGCGGACGCCCTGGTGTTGCGGGCCAAGACCCACGGGGCAGGCGGGGCCTACGTGTACGTCGACAACGTTGGAGCGATCAGTGATGACCGCTCGTTCAGCGAGCAGATATCGTGTCGGAGTGGAGTGAGCTGTTCGAGCCTGCGGGCCTGGCCCTCCACCAGACGGAGTCGCGCTGCGATTCCGGCGAGGCGCTGGTCACCGAGCTCGACGGGCGGCGGCTGTGCTCCAGCATTACGTCGGGCCGCTTCTGGAAGATGTAGCGCGGCCTGAGTGGATTGCCGGCCCGCGGGCGGTGCAGCGGGCGGGCGCTCGAGGATGTGATTGGCCATTGCGCCTTCTGTGGCCTCGCGTCGCGAGATACCCTTGCAATATTTCACACCGTCTACCGCTTCATCTCGTCTCAGTATCTTGTTCTCACCCCTCTTTGGAAGGAGGTCGTCGGAGAGCTCGGGGCCTTCCGCGGGGCCATACTTTTGCTGGGCCGTGAGTGGTGGCTCCCATGGAACCCCTGCGCCCTCGAAACTGACGCTTGTCTCGTGGGATGGGCGATTGCCCAGAGATTTTGGGGCCCCGAGGAGGTAGCGGAGGTGGGCAGCACCAGTGTGCGTTCCCGCTTCCGCAGGGTAGGGCCACGCTCCGCTCGTGCTTCTGCCTTTCTCGGCCGCCTTCCTTTTCCGTGACGAGGAGGGGGGGTGGACGGGGCCAGCTGCTCGAGCAGCAGGCTAGCAATCAAGGGACCTCGAACCGCGAGGAGCACGAGCTTTCTGGCGACTGGGACGTCGTGGCGGATTGTCCCGAGGCCCCCTGGCCGCTCCTCCGCCGATCCCATTGGAAAACCGTCCAGAAGGGGGCCTGGGCCATTGATGAAGGCATTTTGATACTCGAGGCCCGAGTCTTGGTGTTGGCGACCCAGCGCCTCTCGAGGTCTCGGTTCGGGTGTTACACGCGGGAGTTGTTCTTGCGTGATGACATGTCTTCGCATCTCGCCATCGCTCGGTCACGCAGCCGCGACTATAAGCTTCTTGTCCAGATCCGGCGCTTCTACGCGTGCGCCCTGGCCTCGGATTTGCTTCCAGTTTTCGGCGGATCCTCTCCGAGTGCAATCAGAGCGATACTGGGGGCCGCGATCACTCCGAAGTCTCTTCTAAATCATTAACCGATATCTTGGATCAGCAGCGCGGGTTAGGTCAGCCCCTCTCTCTCTCTCTCTCTCTCTCTCTCTCTCTCTCTCTCTCTCTCTCTCTCTCTCTCTCTCTCTCTCTCTCTCTCTCTCTCTCTCTCTCCTCTCTCTCTCTCTCTCTCTCTCTCTCTCTCTCTCTCTCTCTCTCTCTCTCTCTCTCTCTCTCTCGTCTCAGTGGCCGTCTCGGCCCGGGCAAGGCGCGGCCGGCGCTTGATCCGATCCCTGAAGCATGTGGGCCCGCCGATTGCGGTCGCTCCCAGGTGTAGGCCGCGGCGGTCGCCGGCGGCAGTGGCCGACAGCTGTCGAGAGGCCCTGGCTACGCGCCCGACACCCCGGATAGAGCGACCCCGCCGGACCGCCGCGGCCCTCGCTGGAGACGCAGGGGAGGGCGCCGTGGCGCCGCCGTGCGCGCTGGCCGCCGCGGTCGACAAACTGTAGAGCAGCCGCAACTGCCCAGGGCTTGGGCCGCCGGGCCCCGCTGCGGGCGACCGCGCGATGGGCCGCCGCGAGCCGGCTGACGTTCAGAAGCCCCTCCCTCGGGACGCGCGGCAGGCGCCGCGTGCGGCAGCGGCTCCCAGCGTGGGCGACAGCGGCCGGAGTCTCGTGGATCGGGACAAAGCTGAACTGCTGGCCGGCGCCAAGCAGGAAGTGGGCCCCGCGGTTTCTGCTGCCCTGGAGGCCCCCAGAGAGTCGTCAATCGCCTCCGCGACGCGATGGGCCCGACGCCTGCTCTGGGCGGCGACCGCCCAGTTGTGGCTAGGGCGCGGCCGCGGCGGCCACTGCCCAGCAGGGCGAGCGCGCGGCCGCGTTCGCCTGGCAGCCCGCCCAGGACGACCCACGGCGCGGCGCCAAGGCCCAGCCCGGGCCCACGTGCCTGAGGCTGACCAGCCGCGGTGCTCGCCCGCGGCGTTTGCAAGCTCAGCGGCCCCCTTCAGCTCTGGGGGCGCTACGTCGCAGATGTATTCGCGGTCAACCGATGCGCGTCAAGGGCTGCGGAGGCGCGGTGGTTTCGCGCCCGCAGTTGGCACGCGCTTCTCGACCCCGTCTGCCAGGGCCTGCTGAGGCGCGCAGTGCGGTCGGTCATCCGCGCGGAGGTCCAGCGGGGTCATATACTGGCCGCCGCCTTCGCGCCCCCATGCCAGACTTTCTCAGCGGCGCTGGACAGGACGGCCAACATCCGCTCAAGCGAGTAGCCTTGGGGGCTGCCCTCGCAGGGCCTCTCGCCGCGGGATCGCGACGAGCTTTTCCTCGGCAACCGGCCGCCTCGCTCCGCATTGGCGTTGTTTGCCTGCTGTTGGGGCAATGCGATACCAGCCGTGCTGGGGCACCCGCGGGCGTCTCGTTTGTGGTGCACGAACGAAGCAGGGGCCTTGGCCCGTCGCTTTCATGTCTCGCTGGTAGAGCTGGACCAGTGTCAGGTCGGAGCCAAATGCAAGAAGCCGACGAGGCTGATGTTCTGTCACGTCGACCCTGATGACCTTAAAGACCTGTGCCGCAAGTGCCTCGGCGGCCGCGGCTTCTGCTCCCGAGCCGGCCGCCCGCGCATCCAGCTGGAGGGAAGCGCCCGCGCTGGACCTTCATCCGACTTGCACCTCTTGCCATGACGTTTCGAGGTCTTTGCCAGAATTGCCCCTGCCAAGTGGAAAAAGTGGGTTCTGTATGTTCTTGAACAGTTTGAGATGAAGGGCTTGTAACGTAGTGTTGTACAGCCACCCCGCCTGCAACATGAACCAAGAGTTTACACATCGGTATATGTATTGTTTCCTTGTCCTCTCTTCGCGTCTCTCCCTTGATCCGCTCCTCTCCCCCCTTCGCCCGTCTCTGGCACCCTGGAGGAGTGAGAGTCGCTTCGTCCGGTTTTAATCTCTCGCTATGACGTTTCGAGGTCTCCGTCGGACTTGTCCCTGCCAAGTGAAAAAAAGTGGGCTCTCGCCATTACCCTCATCATCAGCATCACCATCATCAGCATCACCATCATCAGCGTCGTCATCATCACCATCATTCCCCACCCATCCCCTCCACCGAGCCCGGCACCCCCCTGGCGCTGCCCCTAAAAAAGGGGCACGGGTCGGGGCACGGGGGGTCGGGAACAGATGGTGCAGGCCCCCGCCAGCTCTGGCCAGAAAGCGGTTGCATGCAGCCGCTGCGCCACGCCCCCCCCCCCCTTTTTGGAGGGTGTCTCCGAAGGGCTTAGGCGACCCGTCCTCTTCCTCCTCCTCCTCCTCCTTGTCTTCTCCTCCTCCTCCTCCTCCTCCTCCTCCTCCTCCTCCTCCTCCTCCCCCTCCTCCCTCCTCCCTCCTTCTCCACCTCCCCCCCCTCCTCCACCTCCCCCTCCCCTCTCCCCTCCTCCTCCTTTTCCTCCTTCCCCTCCTCTCTCTCCTCCTCCCCCTCCTCCTCCTCCCTCTCTTTCTCCCCCCCCCCTCCCCCCTTCCCCTCCCCCTCCCCCTCCTCCTGCTCTCTTCCTCCTCTTCCTCCTCATCACTCCTCCTCCTCCTCCTCCTCCTCCTTCCTCCTCCTCCTCCTTCCTCCTCCTCCTCCTCCTCCTCCTCCTCCTCCTCCTCCTCCTCTCCTCCTCCTCCTCCTCTCCTCCCCGTCCTCCTCCTCCTCCTCCTCTCCTCCTCCTCCTCCTCCTCCTCCTCCTCCTCCTCCTCCTCCTCCTCCTCCTCCTCCTCCTCCTCCTCCTCCCCCCCTCCTCCTCTCCTCCTCCTCCTCTCCTCCTCCTCCTCCTCCTCCTCCTCCTCGTCCTCCTCCTCTCCTCCCTCCCCCTCCTCCTCCTCCTCCTCCTCATCCTCCTCTCTCCTCCTCCTCCTCCTCGTCTTTCGCCTCCTCGTCGTCGTCCCTCCTCCTACCTCCTCCTCCTCCTCCTCCTCCTCCTCCTCCTCCTCCTCCTCCTCCTCCTCCTCCGCCCTCTCCTGCACGTGACAGTGGTTGTGCAAAATGGGCCCATCACGAGGGCCAGGGCTTCGGTACAATAGCAGATCATGGGAACCATCGAACAATGCCGCCGCTTGAGTGCAGGGGCGTCGGTCAGCGTCTGGTAATCGATGCGCCAGCGCTAAGTCGGGGCCGTCCCTCTACAGGAGGAATATTTGGAAATAGTAGAAACATTGGTTTGGGATTACTTTTCGATCATGTTCGACAATTTTGGAGCATTTGGGGTCTATCTTAATTCTTTCCCGCAAAATCCGCCTGCAGGGGGGCACGCCCGACCTAACACTAGCGTCGATCCGCGTCGAATCGCCAGAGCCAGCATGATGGTGCGCGAAGGCTCCCAGGAGTTGCCACAGGGCAGGGGCGTGATGTTGTCATTGCCAGGGCAGTGGCAGCTCCGAGATCTCATGGCCTCCCCTTCCTCTTCCAACGCGTTTCCTGGGCCCCCACTCGTCCGCGCGCATGCCTCGGGCCACGATGCGCTGGCCCCCCTCTATTTTTGGCGCATCCGTGTGTTGACGGCTTCGTCCACTCGTAGCACACGTGGTATATTTCCAGACAACAGTTGGAGTTGGGTCCCGGTGCTGAGGAGAGAGCGCCACTCAATTTGTCCCGCGTCAGTCAACTCACCTCCCTCCTCCCTCTCCCTCCTCCCATCATCTTCCTTCTGCCCTCCGAATGTCAACCTGTTCGGCACACCCATCACACGCTTCGTGGCTCCATGGGGAGCTCAAACGAATGCCCCAGTGGCAAAGACCATATGCGGTTCCCCACCCATTCCGCCACACCCCTCACACGCTTCGTGGCCGCATGGGGAGCTCCACAGGAGGCCCCAGTGGAGAAGTTTGCATGCGGTTCCCCGCCAATTTCGGCACACCCTTCACACGCTATGTGGCCCCATAGGGAGCTCAACCGAATGCCCTTGTGGCAAAGGCCACATGCGGCTCCCAATTTCGGCACACCCCTCACACGTTTGTGGCAAAGTCCACATGCGGTTCCCCGCCCTGATCGACACACCCGTCACACGCTTCGTGGCCGCATGTGGAGCTCCTCCGAAGGTCCCAGTGGCAAAGTCCACATGCGGTTCGCCGCCCATTTCGGCACACACGTTCCGTGGCCCCTTAGGGAGATCCACCGAAGGCCCCGATTGGCAAAGTCCACATACGGTTCCCCACCCATTTCGACACACCCTTCACACGCTTCGTGGCCCCATACGGAGCTCCACCGAAGGCCCCCAGTGGCAAAGTCCACACGCGGTTCCCCGCCCATTCCGCCACACCCCTCACACGTTGCGTTGCCCAATGGGGAGCCTCACCGAAGGCCCCGAGAGGCAAAGTCCACATTCGCTTCCCCGTCCAATTCGGCACCTGTTTCAAACGTCCCGCTGCCCCACAGGAAGCTCCATCGACAGCCTTAGTGGCAAAGTCCACATGCGGTTCCATGCTCATTTCGGCACAGCCCTCACACGCTTCGCGGCCCCATGGGGAGCTCCACCGACGGCCCCCGTGGCAAAGTCCACATGCGGTTCCCCGCCCATTCTTCTGCACTTCCTTCACACGCTCGTGGCCCCATATGAATCTCCACCGAAAGCCCTTGTGGCAAAGTCCACCTGCGGTTCCCCATTTTGGCACACCCTCACACGTTTCGCTGCCCCATATGAAGCTGGACCGAACAAGGTGCCCGAAACGCGGTACTCACAGCTGCCTGTGGATAGGTCCGTCGCCAGGATAATTGGTGTGGCCGCGAGATTTTCGCTTGGAGCTCCCCCTCGTTGGTGGGTCGTCAGTCCACTGCCCAGTCAGATCTGGGGTGGCGTTCCCTTGTTGGTGCGCTCCGACTGTGTGCGCCCAGTGTGGCCTTTTTTCTGCGCGCTTGAGCGCGCACGTGTCGAATTCGTGCTCTGGTGGCCAGGGCTGTCGGCTCCAACAGTTGACGTTGATTCCCTCGTTGGGAGCCTGGAGACTGAGCCTGCGCGGCCGGAGGCGGTGCCTCGACCTGCTTTCGCGGGAAGGCTCCCAAAGCACGCTGCCAGAGGTTCCCCAGAGAGTGTTTTGAGTGTGGTCTCTCAGTTCGCTGCCTAAGCAATTGGATGGGTATGGTGTGGAAGCTCTGGTGGGCGGCCGTGGGCGTCTGGTGGGAGGCGGAGGAGGAGGAGGAGGCGGCGGAGGAGGAGGAGGAGGATGAGGATGGGGGAGGAGGAGGGGGAGGGGGAGGGGGAAGGGAAGGGGTGGAGGAGAGGAGGAAGGAGGGACGAGGAGGCGGAGGAGGAGGAGAGGAGGAAGGTCGGAGGGAGGAGGAGGCGGAGGAGGAGGGGGATGGAAAGGAGGAAGAGAGAGGGAAGGGAGAGGAGAGGAGGAGGGATGGTAAGGAGAGGAGGGAGGGGGAGGGAGGAGGGGAGGATGGGGAGAGGAGGAGGAGGAGGAGGAGGAGGAGGAGGAGGAGGAGGAGGAGGAGGAGGAGGAGGAGCCGTGCGCTCGCTGGCTGGTTGTGAAGCGGCGTCGCCCGGTGTTCGCCCGCGGGCGCCTCGTGGGCCCCCCCCTGTGCGCTGGCTGGGTCTGCCAGCGTGTCGCCCGGTGGGCGCCCGTGGGCGCCCCGTGCCGCCTGCCACACGTACACGCCGGTCGCTGAGGAAGACGAGGAAAGAGGAGGAGGAAGAGCAGGAAGAGGAGGAGGAGGAGGAGGAGGAGGAGGAGAAGGAGGAGGAGGAGAAGGAGGACGAGGAGGACGAGGAGGAGGAGGAGGAGGAGAAGGAGGACGAGGAGGAGGAGAAGGAGGACGAGGAGGAAGAGAAGGAGGACGAGGGGGAGCGGCGAGCGCATCAGCTCCTGCCCGGTCGCGCCTTCCTAGTTCAAGAATCGACATGCTTGTGCTGTGTTTTGTTGTTCTCTGGGAGGACCTGGCTCCCAATGCGCTATATCCGCCGTTCTGCTTCATGCTTCTGCCTACTGCTTCCGACCGACGTGTATGTGTCGAAGGAAACAAACACATAAACATAAACTTTGGCGCTCTGCGCGGATTTCTTGGATCTGCGCCTGGGCCCCCTCGGCGGCGCCTCCGGCGCCGCCCTTGGCGCGCTTCGCGCGCCGGGGGGGTTCGGCGCGGATCCGAGAAGTCCGCGCGGAGCGCCGAAAGTTTATTTTGTTGTTTTTTTCTCTTTTTCTACATCTGTTGCACCACACCGTTTGCAGCACAGCTTTTGCCACGCAGCTTCCGCCCCATGGCCCATGGCTTGCACCACACAGCTTGCACGACATAGAGACTGCACCGCCCTGCTTGCACCACAGTGCCTACACACACACGTTGCACCACATCGCTTTCACCGCATTCCCTGTCAGCACATGCACAACACCACGGAGCTTACACAGCATGTATTGCACCACGCAGCTTGCACCAAAGCTTGCACCAAGCATATTTCACTACACAGATTGCCAGCACGTCGAGAGCGAAACGACCTATTACTCTTTGGGGTGCGCGCTGGCAAGCGTTTGTTTCAATGATTTTCTCTCCCAGCCAATGCTGGGCCGCGCGACCACATTGACGCTGGCGACCTGCGCGTTCGCGGCCGCACGTCGCCGTCGCGCGGTCTATCCGCCGGCCGGCCCTCGCCATCCAGCTGCTTCCTCTGGCCGCCTCCCGCCACAGTGCGTGGAGTGCAGGGCTGCCCGCGCGCCGCCGTCCCAGGGCTTGCGGCGGGGACCCGCCCTGCACCCCCAGCGCCAGATGGGTGCGTGGCAGAGGTCTCCACGCTCGCGTGGTGAGTGCAGTGCCCAGCGGGTCTTTCCATTCCCCTCGGTCAAGCAGTGGCGAAGCGTCCTGGCGCGCCTACAGGCCCACCAAGCAATGCTCTGAGCATTTTTCCGTGGTTTCGACGAAATGTTCTTAGAACATTTTGGGCCGATGCTGCCTTGCTTAAACGCCTCGGGCTTCATGTCTAAGAGCTTTGTGTTTGTTCTGAGAACATTTTGAGGTTCTGAGAACATCTCGTGGTAGGCCTGGAGGAATGCCGGGACGGCCAGCCCCTGCTCAACTTAGGGTGTTTTTCGGGAGCGACGCCGTCGAGAGGCCACAGCGCCCGCGAGACGCGTCCGCGGTGAGAGAATTGTTTGGGCCTCGCCGCCACCCCCTCGACAAGTGCGGGCAGGTCGCGCACCAGTGCCTGGCCAGGGGGCCCCTCCTGGCGGGGCGCCGGCCCCGAGCGCCTCGGGGCACTCGGCCTGCCCGCTCGGGCCGTTCGGAGAGAGGCTCCGCTGGCCCTCGGCGGAGGAGGAGGAGTCCGGACCGGACCAGACCGGACCGGAGGCTGCGTTTTCAGGGGAGAGGAGAAAGAAACCCAGACCGGACCATGAGCGTTTACGAGATGGCCCTGGGCGCTTGCTAAGCAGCCCTGCCCTGTTTGATGCCTTCTCTGGGTGCGTTTGCTGCACGGCTTCGCGTGTCGGGGTGGTTCTTATCGGTGTGGGTTCTCTATCTTCTGGGAAGGGGAGGGTCCAGGCCTCCCAAATCTGGAGCCCGAGTAGGGTCGGACCGAGGTGTGAGATCGAGGCTGGTTGGGGAGGCTGCCCTCATGCTCTAATGCTCTTCGTGTCTGCTGGATGTCCTCGTGCCAGTATCGTCTAACCGACCCCCATCCCCATGCTGGGGATACACCCTGGCGTGTATCCCCCACAAATTTACCACCCCAGCTGGGGATACACCCCTCGAAACCCGAAGGGAACAGCCTATATCCCCATCTAGGGGGCTAAATCGGCCAGTGGGGCCCAGGCCACGCCGCCGGGGATGGGGATCGGTTAAACGATGCTCACGAGTACGGTCGGACCGAGGTCTGAGATCGAGGCTGGTTGGGGAGGGTGCCCTCATGATCTAGTGATCTTCGTGCCTGCTGGATGGTCCTGTGCATCCTGGTGAAGGCCTCGGGGGTTTTTCAGTCTGGGCTGGCGGAGGGTCTCACGTTCTTGAGGGATGTGTATCTCAGGAGGAGAAAGAGCACACAGACACAATTAATCGTCGAATTCCCAGAACATATGGGAAAATATGGGCAGTGGGGGGGGAGACAGAAACCCAGAACATATGGGGAAATATGGGGAAGGATTTTATGTGTGTGTGTGTGTTTATTTGTGTGTCCCAAGGCCCCTTCAGTATCCTTGTCCCAGGTCCGGCTGTCGATGGGGTCGGAGGATCGGGCCGCATCGCTGGTGCATCGGCGATGCGGCTCGAGGTGGGGCGCGGTCTTCGCCACGCCGATGGGACCGATGCATCGCCGACGCTGCCGATGCATCGTCAGTTCTTCACGCTTCGCGTGTCCCTACCAGCCCATTTGGAAACCCCTCCCATGAGAGACACATCTAATAGTGACGACGAGACACATATAATTGTGAAGCAGAGCGGGCAAACATGTCGAACAGGAGAGATCTCTGGGAGCAAGCGGGTCGTCTTGGAGGGCCTCTTCGGAACATCCCTGGGGCCTGCGTGGGGGCAAGGGAACGAGGACGAGACGACGACCACGACGAAAACACGAAAAGGAGGACAAGGAAGAGAAAAACGAGGAGGGCAAGGACGAGGAGGAGGCGGCCCCGGGTCTGGCGAACCCAGTGCTGCCCCGCAACGGCGGGCTCCGCGAGGCGGGGGAGGAGTGTGGGTTTGGGGGGGGGGGCAGCGCGGACCTGAGCGCTCCGCGCGGGCCTCCGACAATCGAGCATGTTTCTGCCCACCCTCCTCCTCCTCCTCCTCCTCCTCCTCCTCCTCCTCCTCCTCCTCCTCCTCCTCCTCCTCATCCTCCTCCTCCCTTCCTCCTCTCCTCTCCCCTCCTCCTCCTCCTCCTCATCCTCCTCCTCCGCCTCCTCCTCCTCCTCCTCCTCCTCCTCACATCCTCATCCTCCTCCTCTCTCCTCCTCCCCTCCTCCTCCTCCTCCTCCCCCCTCTTCCTCCTCCTCCTCCTCCTCCTCCTCCTCCTCCTCCTCCTCCTCCTCCTCCTCTGTTTCGGCTCACCTCGTGGCCCTCTCACCGCTCCGGTTCCAGTCCCCACAGGAGACCCCTGACCCTGATCTGGGACCGGGGGCCCCTCGGGGGCCCCAGGGGGCGCGTGGGTGCGCGGCGTGCACATGTACACGCCGGTCGTTGAAAGTAGGTATTGCTGGGTTCCCAGATCCCAATCTACTTCAAGCGCCTTCCTGCTTCAAGAGTCGACACGCTTCTGCTGTGTTCGGTCATTCCCTGGGGGGGCCTGGGCCCAATCCACTAGATCCGCTTAACGCTAACCACGTCTCAACGCTTACCACGACCCAGTTCCCAGGCATCAGCGTCCCGAGCCTTCCTCGGCCTCCCGCCCCACCACGGAGTGGGGGGCGCGGCGCGCCATCGGTCCGCCCGCTTGTGGCGCAGCTTAGGCCGCCGGGGGGGGGGCCGCGGAGGGCCTCTCACCCCCCCCGACAGGGCGCCCTGCAGCCCAGCTCGTCCTGCAGCCAGGCAAGACCACCACCGCCACCACCATCAGCTGGAGGGGGAGGGGGTCCTCCTCCTCCTCCTCCTCCTCCTCCTTCTCCTCCTTCTCTTCCTCCTCCTCCTCCTCCTCCTCCTCTTCGTCTTCTTCCTCCTCTTCCTCCGCCTCCTTTCCCCCTCCAACTTCTGGTGGTGGTGGTGGAGGTGGTGGAAAGCAGGCCCATCAATGTTGATGACCCGCTTGCCAATACCAAGTCTCGGCCACGCGCAGAGGGGCATATCATGGGGAGGGGGAAGGCATCTCAGAAGCACCCCTGCATGCTTCTGAGAAGGCGCGGGCCCGATCTATAGGCGTCCTTCCAAGACGGTGCGGGAAGCCTTCAACAAAGGTCGGCATCTTTCAATAAACAGCCTCATTCTAAGACGCCTTCCCTCCTCCTGCTCCCGTGTGGACAGGTCAGGACAGGAATAAGCCGCGCCTAGACGGCGCATCGGCAGAACATGACAAACTACAAAAAGGCCAGGAACCATAATTGTCCTGGCCGTGTGTAGTGTGTCATGCTCTCCCTAATCCCTTGTGCTCTGGTCAAGCATGCCATGCTCGCATATCCGGTCGGGCCGTACTCACATGGTATCGCTTTGCCATGTTCGCTCAGAGGGCTTCAGCTTGGGCGTCAGAGGCCTTGCATCCATGCCGCGCATCCCATGACCATGGTGAGCTGTGCGCATGTTCCTCCTACATCCCATCCCCCTTCCTGTGTCCCATCCGCCTCCCGCCATTGCTCCTCGCGTCTACCATCCCCCCCCCTCTCTCCTCGTCCTCGCGTCCCTGCCCCCCTCACTTCTCATCCCTTCATCTTCCCATGCTCCTCCTCCTCGTCTTCCTCCTCCCGCCTCTCAGCTCGTCATTCCGTCATTCCGCTATGCCCCTCATCCATCCATATTTTCATTCCATTCCAACTTCCTCGTCTCTTCATTCTCCCAATGCTCATCAGCCTGCTCCTCATTCTCGCACCCTTCCGTCCTCCCCAGACCTGCGACGTCGTTGTGTTTTCCAACGCGGACCCCTGGAGGTCTGGACCCCCTTCCCTCGGGTCGGTATTTCATCCCGAGTCTGTTTTTGACGGTCGTGGCAAGCGCCCCTGGAGGTCGACAAATCTGCAGAATTTTCCGTCTTCACGACGCGGGGAGGTTTGGTTCAGGGGTGAGAAATGGGGTCTCCGGCGGCCGTTCGGGACTATTCGGGCCCACCCAGAACGCGCTCGGCGAGGCGCAGTTGCCGAGAAGTGTTCTCTGAGGCCGGAAGCCCGCCGAGGACGGGCGAACGCGCCCGATACTCTTTCCCTCCCTTCCTCCCTTCGCCTTCCTCCCTCCCTCTTGTGCTCGAGCCTCGAGCCCCGACCACCGCGACGGTGCCGAGTCCCCCGGGGGAGCAGCACTTCCCCCCAGGCTCAAGTCGGGTACGTCCCTCTAAAGGAGGAATTTTCAGAAATAGTCATCAACTAGTCTGGGGACGGTTTTTGGTCCGATTATCGTGTGACCATTTTGGAATATGTGTTTGCCTATCTTGCACTTCGCCGAACGTCCGCCTGGAGGGGGACAGGCCCGACCTCGTCTTCTGCTCGAGCCTCGAGCCCCGACCGCAGCGGCGGTGCCGACCCCCCCCCGGGAGGAGGAGGAGGAGGAGGAGGAGGAGGAGGAGGAGGAGGAGGAGGAGGAGGAGGAGGAGGAGGAGGAGGAGGACAACACACTTCCCCCAGGCCTGCCGCGCGGCGGCCGGGCCGCCGAGGCGGCGCCGCGCGAGGGCGGCGCTGGCGCCCCCGGCGGCGGCGACGACCCCGGCTGGTTCCTTCGCCTTCCTGGCTTGGGCGCCAACGGTCAGGCGATCAGGAGGCAGGGGGACCCAGACATCATCGCGTCGTTCAAGAAACAGGGCGGGAGGTTTTTGGCCGATTTCGGCCTCGGGGGGCCCTCGCCGGGCCTCGGGACCGTCCAAAGACGGCTCAGGATGAAACGCCGGTCCCGGGGAAAGGGTCGGGACTTCCAGGGACGCCGTCCTGAAAAAATCAGGACGTTGCATGTCCGGGGAGGGAGGGGGATGGAGGAGGATGGAGGAGGAGGGAGGAGGAGGGGGAGGAGGAGGAGGAGGAGGAGGAGGAGGAGGACGAGGAGGAGGAGAGGGAGGAGGAGGAGGAGGAGGAGGAGGGAGGAGGCGGAGGAGGAGGAGGAGGAGGAGGAGGAGGAGGCCTGAGGCAAGTCCGCACGTTCCTGGGCGGGATGGGGCCATCGGGCCCCCTCCTGCTCGGCGGCGACCCCGGCTGGTGCATTCTCCTTCCTGGATTGGGCGTCGCGTAACGGTCAGGCGATCGCAAACATGGATCAAGGGGGCGTGGATTAGTGATGCTTTGTATTCATTATTTTGCCGATCGGCGCGGGCCCAGCATTTGGGGGAGGGCACCTCCCCGATCCAGGGATTCGGTGACCGCGCGCCAAATCCATGGATCGCTAATCCATGTTTGTGCGCCCCCGAGCAATGGGGGGGGGGGCGGCGAGGGCTGCAGAAAAGAGGCCCCCTAAAGGCCCCTAGAGGGCCCCGAAGTGGGCCTTCGGGCCCGAGAGAACTGCACCTTTCTCCCCCCCCCCCCCCCCCCCCCTTTGGCTGGTCCCGTCGCCTTCCTGGAATCGCCACGTCCTAAAGGGGGGGGGGGCGATTTCGAGGCCTCCCAACCCAGACCCCCTTGCGGTGTGAAAGGATCACGGCGGGTGGGTTTTTCAATATTTTCAGCCTTCGGGAGCCCTTGCCAGGCCTCGGGACCGTCAGAAAACGACTCAGGATGAAAAGCCGGTCCAGGGGAAGGGGTCCAGGCCTTGGGGGGTCGACGTTGCGA